AGTKYWTKSTGSMYTRGCARWGGKRRWGGATCTACCAGCATTGATTTCCTGCTCGTTCATTCATCATTTGCGTTTGTATTGATGAGGAAAATATTATGTGACAGATGACAACGGAGACGAGCTAAGGAGGGAGATGACATTTGTTCAATCTTTTGTTCTTCTTCCTCCTCTTCCTCTCAGTCTTCTTTTTCTTCGTTTCCTTCTTCTTCTTCTTCTTCTTCTTCTTCTTTCCATTGTCTCATTCAAGTTTGTCTCGAGTTCCAAAGTATGGGATCATTGCATCATGAATACGAGAGTATCATAGCATAGCTCACTCCTGTGTTCTGTTCTCCCCTCTCTTTTATGCATTCTGCGTTTTCTTTTTTTCCAGCTCTCTGTTCCTTCCCTTCTCCGTTATCCTTTGTTTCCCTTACGAACTGCCTTCGTGAATCTGCAGGGCTGATTCAATTTGTTTAGGCAGTGCTGGCAGTGGAAGCACATACACCCTCGCACAAAATTTGACAACATACAAGTTGCAGCACTGGGGAGAAGGATGTAAGCACAAGCATTTCATTTTCACACTGCTGCTGGGCTGACCATATACACCAGTGGATAGCTTCGCTTTCATTTCATTAAGCTAACAGTGCCAACTCCAGGAAACGTTTTCTAAGCAGATTGCTTCCTTGCCCACACACAGATCTATAGAATCTTCTCCTGTTATCAATGAAAGGACAGTACTTTCCTTGACGCGCTGGTGGAAGAGGGACCGGACAACGGTTCCAGGAATAGAAAAGGGGCCGGGACCATAAGGTCCCCTTAAGAAAATATACAACATAATAAATTAACAAAAAAACACAGTGATTCCCCTTTTGACAACCAATGAGAGTCATCCAAAGAACGATGTAACAGATTGGCACATAGGAGCCAAGAGCAAAGGCAGCACTTACTGTAAGCAAGGCAGACAGAAGACGAGAGTCCATTTCAACGCCACTCTTCCTCCCAGCTGCCTTCTTCTTCTTTTCCTTGATTTTCTTCTTCAGTAGTGCCTTCTTGGCTTTATCGTACTCTTCCCGACTCAAATGCCGGCGTTTACCATCTGCGCCCTCCCCCTCGTCCTCTTCGTCCTCTCCCTTCGTTACAACCTGTCCGTCGCGACGTGACCACGGAAGACCACTGTCAACACTTGTTAAACAGATCGATCGAACAACCTCGTCGGCAAACGAGTGGTGCCAAGAATTATTGGCATCGGCTCCATCAACATCATGAAATGTGCATTATTAATCTGTAGTCCGCCATTGTCCGCAAAATGATCCAAGTTCATCCAACAAACAAAGAGATATCAGCATATAGATTCAGTCCACATTATCAGTACCAATGGTAGGGCACCGCTACAGGTGTAAAAAGCAAAAAGTATGCAAATGCATGTAAATTGTAGCCCCATAAATGTTGTGGTCCCCACATCTTTCAAATTGGCAAAAAAAAAACAAAAAAAACAGCATGGGTTAGAGAATCAAGAGAAGACAAAAATGCAAATATATGCCCAGACTATAAGGAGAACGGCCCAAACTTGTTCCCTGTAATCATAAAACCAAGACACGCACAACCCCACCCATGTGGCTGAATGCTACACACCTCGCTGTTAGCAAACAGATCATGAGTTTGAATCCTCATGCAATCAGACAAACACAGTAATGCTAGCGGCTTCCCTCGTTGGACGGAAAGAAGATGTAACCATGATCTCAGCAAAATCAGGAACAGCTGCAGGAAATTGTTTCAAAAACAGGCAAAGCATGTCGCATAATTTTACAACTACTTGGATTGGATCAATTCCAAGGAAGGCAATGCAAAATTGAAAATACGCAAAACTTTTGTCGCAGATGCCAGCTTCATTTTACTGTTATAGCATCACACCGAACAGTTGCTGAGGCAAATCATACCGCTTTGTTCACAACTCGAAAATTTTAATAAACACCGAGAAAAGGAAAAAAGAAAAGTACCAAAGAAAAAGTTAAGTTCGCGACAGAGCTCTTCAAAAATTTTGCAGTCTAAATTAAAAGAAAAGTTGGGTAGAAGATGTTGTTGAGCCCTTTTTGTCCAAAATACAACGGGTGCCAAGACTAGCCTCCTCATAGTCTGGACCAAGGGCTCCACTACCAAGACCAACCCCTCAGAGTCTAGACCAAGGCTGTGAAAAAGTATTAGGGGTAAGTATGGGCATAGAAAGAGCTGTCTCTTATACACATCTAGATGTGTATAAGAGACAGGCAACTGCCTTGTCGCCTTTGGTCTCGGTGTGTTCCTCCATGGCATCCGTGGCCACCGCAGCTGTTGTGTCGCCCTTGGTCTCGGTGTGTTCCTCCATGGCATCCNGAGTTCTTAAAAAGGGGTTATTTTATTCTATCTTAGCAGCATAGCAACCTAGTTCTTATCGCCAACAGAGTCGGCCTACAATGAAATGAAGCGGAGCAGCTCTCACCTTGAAAAGGCCAAAGTAGAAGTCGATGAGAGTCTTTGCTAGCTGAGGACCGTCAGCTTTCTTATAAAGGAAAATCTGGTTCAGAAACACCACCTGATTGAACCCAGCAGATACGAACACACAACCCAACGATTTCGAGACGGAGGTGGAGAGATTCAGCAAAAAGAATGAGGCACTGATCAACGCGTAAGCTCGCAAGATACCATCCACACTCTCCAGTTGTAACATTCCTTACCCGTAGTAACATTCACCCAACAATGAGTAACATTCATTACCTGTGGTAGCTTCTAACTTTTTCTCTCGAGGTAACAAAGGCAATGAGATAGCCATACAAAAGAATACTATTATGGGCAACGAATGTTACTAGGGTAACATTCGTTACCTGTAATAACATTCGTTACATGCAGTAACAATCATTGCCTGCAGTAACATTCTTCTTCTACAGGTAACAAAGGCCACAAAGCACGTGAAGATAAGAATGCTACTATGGATAACAAATGTTACTTCGGGTAACACATGTCATTCACACTCTCCAGTAGTAACATCTGTTAACTGCAGTAACATTTCTTACTGCGCAGGGCCGCAGTAACATTCTTCTTCTACAGGTAACGAAGGCCACAAGGTACATGTAGATAAGAATGCTACAATGGATAACAAATGTTACTTGGGGTAACACATGTCATTCACACTCTCCAGTAGTATAACATATGTTAAACTGTAGTAACATTTGTTACCCGCAGTAACATTCCTCTCTACGGGTAAGAAGGCCACAAGTTACCTGTATGGAAGAATTTTACTATGGGTAATAAATGTTACCACACATAACAACAACCACCCATAGTCTCCAGCAGTAACATTTGTTACCCGCGGTAATATTCACACTACAAAGCGTATTGTTTTTTAACTGCGTAACGTTCATAGCACATGGCAACATTCTTCTCTACAGGTCACAAAGGCTACAAAAAAGCAATATTCGGTATTAACATTCTTACGGTAGAGAAGTAGCATTTGCTACTGAGAAGTAGCATCTGTTACTACAGGTAATGAATCTCATCCAGACTTCTCAAGCAGTAGTGTTTGTTACCTGTAGTGGCATTCTTCTCTATCGGTGACCACACTCAGTACTAACATTCACGCTACAAAGAGTCTAAACCGTCTTTCAGAGCGAGGTTGCAAATTCAAATCCTGTTTTCAGTTAACATTTCCACGTTATCAATAATTAGCAAGGAGCTGACCCACAGGTTCGTGCAAAGAGGAGATGAGCAAAATAACAGGAAAAAAAAAAAAAAAAAAAAAATCCATGAACAGACAAGAAAAGAACTGGAGGACACATCACCATGATCCAGACTGAGAAAGGTGTTTCTATGCTGTCCTCCTCTTTCATCTACTCTCTCTTTCATCTACTCATCTCTCTCTCTCTCTCTCTCTCTGTGTGTGTGTGTGTGTGTGTGTGTGTGTGTGTGTGTGTGTGTGTGTGTGTGTGTGTGTGTGTGTGTGTGTGTCTGTGTGTGACACGCATATGCACACAAGGGGTATCCCTCAAAATATACATAATACTATGGTAATAGAGTCACAGAGAACTGGCCAGTGAACCACTAAACTGTAGGCAGTAAGAAGAAAGGGACAAAAAACGGGAAGTTGTGACACAGACTGTTTCATCCGAGTTTCACCGTTTCATCAGGAGAAATTTACATGTGCACGAGTAAAGTCTTTTGTCCCATATCTCTCTCATTTTCCCTTCAGCAATGTAGTCTGTATTATGTATCCAAGTTTCACCGATTCATCGGGACCCATATACATGTGCACAAGTCAAGTCTTTTGTCCCATATCTCTCTCATTTTCCCTTTCGCAATGTAGTCTGTATTATGTATAAAGAATTCAGCTAGTTCCCTGGTGAAGCAGCACCCCATCAACCTACACACACAAGCTAAGGTCAGTAGCCGTAGGTAACGAATGAGAAGGCAAAAGAGCAAAGAAACAAAAGTAGCTTAGGACAATGTCTCACCGCATAGTATCTTGCGCGGGTCCCCACCCGTGGACGAAAGACAAAATGATCCACTTCCTGGACAATGACTCTCTGCAACAGACAGTAAGCAGAACCAATGAGACTGACGTAGGTGAGCAACCCAGCAACATAGCTGGAAAAAAAAAAAAACAAGGGCCTCACTCCACTACCCACGAGATGTAAAATGAAAATGAATCTTCCACCAGAACCTGGGAAGACAATACACCGCCATATATTTTGTCTTTTGTGCATGTCGAGAGTATAGTGGAGCGAGGCCCCAAGATAGCTTACGAGAGAGGCTGTGAACACTGAAAGCATCCAATTACAATTCTCTGAAAACGCACGCTATGTTCCCTTGGGAGTACCCACACTATCAATACCTACCTTCGTAATCGACTCTTAAGAGTCTCAACTCGACTTCCATAGCCATGAACGTGCAGCCATGCGGCCGGCTCTGACACCTGGTGACTGCCTCCCCAATAAGCATCCAAATTTCAAATTCAAAACCACAGTTCATTTATAACTTTCTTTCTATAACTTTCATTTATAACTTTCTTTTTATCACTTTCTTTTACAATTTTCTTCTCAAACCCTGCATATCGGCACCAAGCCTTAGCCTCGGAGGTACGGTCAGAAAACATGGACTCCCACCAAGTCCATAAAAGTTTCTTCAGTATTTGCCTCGCAAGCAATGACAGCCTGCATCTTGTGCAGATTCTGACCAGCCTTTGATTTATACATATAGCAGCAGCGGCAAACCCTCCATGCCTGCAGCAGCAGTGGATGACAGAGCTCCTAAGTCTTGCTGCCACCACCGTCAATAGTGGCGGGGAAGCAAAGGCGAAGAAGATAAGTGAAAAAGAACGACGCATAAATCGAGACAAAGAAAAAGAAGACCCCTATGCTACCCAGGCCATGTGGCTAACACCCACATGTAACTGTTGATGAGCAGAATCTGAGTTCAAAGGGACATCCGTTAAAATTCGAACGATACAGAGAGGATTATTATGGGCCCCTGGCAAACAATGACATGCGTAAGTCCAGACAAAGAAAAAGAAGAAGAAGAACCGTATGCTATCCACCGCATGTGGACAGCATAGGTAATGAACGTACACCCAAATGTGACTGAGTACAAACCCCAACATGATCAGATCGACACAACAAGGTCAGGGGTCTGTCAAATTGCTGAGGACAGGGGGAGGCATACCTTCATGTTCGGGTGCTCCTCTATAAGAGACAAAAGCATGGAGCTCGCTCTCGCAGCTGTCTTTCTATCAGGGTCTCCCAGCTACACATTCCAAGCAAGAGACGCCAGCGAAGAATAGCCGACACAGTCAGCACAACGATTCCTTCGGACAAAACCAAAATGTTTGGCTACTACGCATGTTGTACCTGTCCCTTGGAACAGAAAAGGATCTCCCCCCCCCCCCCCCCCCCCCCCCCCCCCCCCCCCCC